GCCCATAATGGTGAATGCACATAACCCACGTTTCCGGTCAGGTGGGGTCACGTGGGGTTGTGTTGTGCTTGCGGGATTGCCGGAAGCGCATTTTCAAACTGTTTTCGTAACTGCGCCGAAGTTATTCCCCCTTAAAAAAGGTGTGTGTTTAGTACACTGTTTACTGTTCTCTGTTCTATTATATCGCACATAATTATTGAAGTACATTCAGTCAATTTAATCTGTTCATTCTGTTCTCTGTTTTTTACGTTTGCATTGTGTCTTGGGACTCCGTCCTATATGGACTGATCTTTCTTTGTGTGCCGTTTTCTTTTTTGGGGAAACTGCAGCTGTGGCACACTTTCAGTTTGAAATAGGCTAGAAAAGACAAAGTGGCACCTATGTCATGCTGCGAGTTTCAAAATGTGCAAATTTAGTGGGGGTCTAAAACTGCACCAGTCATTACCCCCAGTGGCCCTTGGCAGATTCAGGGGGCTCTCGTTCTTGGCACCCTTTTTTTTTTTTTTTTTTTTGTTGAAAACCAGCGATCACTACTAGAGGGGTGATAAGAGCAGCCGTCTCTAGTAGCTTTCCATGGCTGCTCCATCTATTGGTGGGGAGCTGCATCTGCTGGAAACCGGGTCCACTGCAGTGTCCCTGTGTAACAAGATCATCCGCAAGAATAGTTCGAAAGCAGTCCGCCAGCATTGATTACCCCAGGATACCCAGGGGGATTGACTGAGCGGCTAGGAAGGTTATGAAGACAGAAGTGCCTCTTCACCCTTTGAGCAGGGCGCCTCGTCTATCCTGGTGTATCTAGCATCTTCCATCGCCATGAGTGTATGGATAGTAAAGAATGAGCAGAGCTGCTGCTAGCTGCTGTCCATTTCTTCAGTCTCTTCTTGGCCAAGCTCTGGTCTTCATATTCTCCCGGCAATGTCCGCTTTGTTCCGGTGTTGAAGCTGTTCCTTCCCGGGAGGCACCGGGGGTGGATGATGTTTCTTGTCTGTAGCAACGGCTGTGCTCACATCTGAATTTCCGCCTACGAGAGGGGTTGAGGTGGGAAGGGGTCAGGGAAATCAGATGGGGGTCTCATTGAGAAGGAGGGTTCAATGGTAGTCCAGTCCTTGAATACTAAACGGTAGTCCCTGGGTGGGGCCTGTTTTACCGAGTCTGCCTGGTCACCCCCTCATTCTACCCGAGCTATCCATCCCTCCCGCTGATCCCCTAGCCAGTCTTTTTTTTTTTTCCCCACCAGTCTTAGTGGTGCTGGTAAGAGCAGACACCACTAAAACCTGCGGAGAGGCTCCATCTATTAGTGGGGAGCATCACCTGCTGGAAAACGGGTCCAGCGTCCCTTATACAGACAATGAAAATGTTTGAGAACAATGAGAATAGTGACCGTGGGCCCTGCCAGCATTGATTGCCCTGCAATCCAGGGGATCGACGGAGCAGGTCTATATAGTGACCATTGCCATCTGTACCTCTTCACCCTCAAAGGAAGGGCGCCAGCTAACACAGTTAAGGGCTGGTACAATTTTAGAGAAAATGCTGGGAAGTCCTCTGTTCACCTCCTCTCTTTGAGGTGCCAGATCTTTTGGATCTGATCAGTGCTGTATTTTCAGTGACATGGGGTAGGCCCTTAAACCCCTAAGCCCCTAAACCCTTACTTCTCTCCCTTGTATCTAAAACCTTAGCAGTATCGTTCCACTTTCATTGCTTAATTTCCTCCATCCCTCCCATACCATTCCAAACCCACCAAACAGTTTGACCGGGGGGGGGGGGAGGAGGGATCGGGGAAATCTCCGCTGGGTCTCATCGGGATTGATGTATCGATCGTAGTCCACTCATGAAAAAGGAGTCGGTAGTCTCTCACTAGATCTTTTCTCTCTTGTCCCTCCTCTAGATCCTTTTGTCCCCCTTTCCAATCTTCCCTCCGTTGCCCCCTCCAAACCAGCTCAGGCTAAATTCCTTGTTGGATGTCTTTTGGTGAATGTACTAATTGGATCTGAGCCTTAAGTTTCTCGCACTTTGCCCTTATTTCTGTTTGGATCTGTTGTTGTATGCTTTTTGTGAATGCTGGTCCTTCCAGTCTTGCTCTTTCATTTCATAGGTACAGCGTCGTCGCTAGAGGGCCCAGAGTACCGCCCTACGTCCTTGTTTGAACATATTGCTGGTGAAATCGTTCAGTTGGTCTTTCGGCTAGGTTTCACACAGCAAGGCTTTCCAATCCCACGACCACTAGATCTGAGTTTCTAGTTGTTCCCAGATTGTTCCACCACCTCCACAACCATACCGCTCCTGGGCACTGAAGAAATACGTGTTCAATTGTTTCATACATTTTTCTAGGTGAGAACGCATTGGTGCAAAGCCTACACAAGGGCAAAGCATTCCCTCTCTGCTCCAGGTTCATTCTATCTATCAGCCAATCGTTTGTCAGTAGGCAGCGGTGCTTGATCTACAACTGCAGTGAGGCAAATTTTGGTGGTTTTTTCGTAATTGTTTTGAACCACCTTATGTCTCTTAGCTTGTCCTTGTCGATGTTTAAGTGGTTCATCCAGCGTATCTCCACCCGGTTATGAAGGTTTATTATCGGTCTAAGGAGCTTATAGATCGATTTTACTGTTAGGCCATATAATGTTCTAGTGAGTTCTCTGCCCTTCCTCGTTGGAGTTGTCCATGCCCATTCTAACGGATCCAGGGCGTGTTGGTGGACCGGGATTTGGGGGAGATAGGCGATTCATTGGTCTCTTTCATTGAGCACTCTAATTTTGAAAAGTTCCTCCCTTTGGCATAAAATTGTTCCCTCCGGAGACTCTGAGGTTCGTTGAAGGATGTTGTTCCTACTTATTTGGAAGAGGTTTACTCTTATTGATTCGTCGGGCTCGCAATAGACGGTGTTGCCCACCTCACTTGTTCGATCTCTCAATGGGACCAAGTCCGACTCCTGCAGGGTGAGACCTTTCCTAACTTCCTAAGGAGTCTCCACTAGGCTAGGAGGATCTTTTCTATTCTAGATTCCAACGCTTCCTCTTGTCAAAGTCAATAGTGTAGTCTCTCTCTTAGGTGGTCCGGGTCAATCCAACTTCTCTTTGCCGCATCCCATATGTTTTTTATCCTTGTTATTCCTCACCCGACCCACCTTTGCCAGGGGGAATCCATGCAATGGAGGGTTTGTACCTTCGAGTCAACTACCCATCTGTTACCAAAAAGGGGTTGTCGTGCCACCTCTTCCTATCTCTCTAGAGGGGTTTTATCCAGTAGGCGAAGACTTCTCCATATTTTCAGAAGGTCGGGCCACAAGGGGTCATTGCGCAGGTCGGCCCTTGCTACTTGATTGGGTGAGTCTGGGAGGGGATAACAATGTTGCACACCTCCTCTTGGGATGGACCATCCCCTATTTTCCAGCCACATCAAAGGGTCACTCCCCTCAACTGTTTTTGGTGCTAAGCATGTGATGTGTTCTAGAGCTAACCCCCCTTCAAGGTGATTCTACATTAAAGAGTAGGCATTCAACCTATTGAATTGCTAGTGCTTTAGTTTGTATCGAAGGATCGATAATGCCCTATCCACCTTTCGATTTGGGTTGGATTATGTATTGCCAAGCCACTCTGTTGATCACGTTGCGCTTCTCATGATCACCTCTCCACAGAAAGGCCACTATCTGATGTTGCGAGGGGCAAAGGGCGTTTTTGTCTAATGCCCAGATAACTGATTAATACCAAAGGGAGGTCAATGCCGCATTATTAATGATTAGGGAGCGTCCAATGTGTGAGTTATGTTTGTCCTTCCAGAATATCATCTTTTCGAAGGGTGGACTAGAGATTCATTCATTGTTAGTGAACGGTCTGCCTTTTGGTAACATCAGCACCCCAAGTACTGTAATGGGGGTTTCCTTTGAGTCCATTTGAGCCTGGGTTCTTCTGGGGGTCTCACTCCCTGGTGGTGTATCCACCAGCCTTGGGTTTTGTTTTCCCAATTCAACTTCATATCACAGAGTCTACAGAAGCGGTCCATCATGTGTTTGACCTCTGCCATCGATTCATGGGAGACCTCAATCATTAAAGTCAGATCATCTGCAAACAATGAGCAGACCCCAATTGCTTCCTTGAGTATTGAAGACATAATTTTTTATTTTTTTTAGAAATCACCATCAACCAAGCTGTTATTTGTTGCAGAAGCACAAAATTTAGGAAAAAAATTAAGTTGTTCGTTGCTGTCCAGTACAAGGAACCAAGCAACGAGCATCCAATTTTTCCATCGCATAAAAGAAAAAAAAAAAACACGAAGCAGAGCAAGCACAGTTTTATTTTTCAAATTTTAAGAGACTAAAGCCGAAAGCAGATTACAAGCGGAAATCACACCAAATGAGAACACGATTATGCTGGAGTCTCTTGATACAGAAAGTCTGACACCTCGCCTCCAGATATCAAAACAACAACAACAATATAGCTGAGTCTCACTGCAGTGCAACTGCCTATACTACTTCCACATCAGAACCCCACTACTTCCCGCAAGACGTTCTCTCTCTCTCTCTCTCTCTCTCACACACACACACACATACACACACACACACACACACACACACACACACAGAGTTTGTCTGCTCTTCGTCCTTCCCTAATGATGCCCTTCAGCTTACATCAGGTGGGTGCCACTGCACATCGTTGTTCACTTTTCATCGTCCTCCCAAGCTCTACACACCCCCTTCTTCCTCCTGTCCAGCTATGGATGCCATTGGGAGAGTCGCTTGACTGCACCGTCTCTCTCCCTCTTCGTCATCGCACTGTGACCAGTCTGCTTCTACTATGCCACTTAGCCAGCCAGCAATCCTCTGACACGTTGAATGCCTGCCTGCATGCTCCTAGCCCCTCGTGCGAGGAGATGGCGACTTCCTAGCCCCTCGTGCATGATCGTTTATCTCCTCGTCTCCCGTATTCGCTTGTTTCTTGGCAGAGGATGTAGCAGGTCGCTGTGCGTCCTCCTCCTCCTCAACAGTTGGCTTGTTTCCCCTGCTGTCGCCGGGTCGTGCTCCGCGTGGATGAGCTGCTGGACTTTGTCGCGCTGCCCCTCTACTTCTCGATGGCGACTTCCTAGCCCGAAGCCGAGGGCTTTCGATGGGTCATTAAATGGGACAGGGAACCTTTTCCAGCTCCTCTTCCTCCTTTGGTGGATCTGGCGGGGCCATCATCTCCGGCGCTCAGGGGCGCTGTGGTGGTCCGGTGCTCTGCCTGCACGTCCTTGGCATGAACACCCCCTGACTGACCATCTCCACTAGGATGGTTTTCCCTGACTTTAGGCTGCCATGCAGAGGCTGCTGACGACACTGCTCTCCCTTGATTAATTTCCTCCGCCATCGAAATGTCAGACTTGGAGAACTGTCTTGACTGAGTCCGATTCCCTGCTGCCAACCTGGCAGCTTGAGGTGGGCATTGTGTCAGAAACGGGTCTCTGTCTGCCGCTAATGGCTCAAGGGGATGGTAGGCATCTGTGTCAAGCACAAAGTGCTCTTTCTGGTCCATCTGCTTGATGATGAAAACCATGTTGGAGGACGGTAAGGACGGAGCAGGCTCGGCCACGGTCTTTTTAACCGCTCTGTCTACTGCCAAATTTGCCTGATGGGATGTCCCCGAGGTTGCTCCCACCTTGCCAGCATCTGGTCTGATCGTCACATCAGGCACAGAGGTATTCTCAGGTCCTGCGCTACCCTGACGTGAGAGCACATTTTGCGGTCTTCCATCCATCACCATCTTATTGTCTCCTCTCCCGTTCCCACCTCCTCTGGTACCCCAGCGAGCACGTTGCCTTTCATCTACCAGCTCGCACGCATCCCTTTCCCTCCCTCTCTGCACACAACCCCCTCCATGGATTCCCGAGCCTTCTGCACCACGGCCTACTTCTTGTGAACTCTGGATGTTCTCCTTTCCTTCCGCACACGATTCGTCTTGTTCAATCATGCTTTTCGTATCGGATCGGCCTGGCCCTGAAACGCTGTCAACGGATAGATAGCTTACTGCAACTGCAACCGTCCCAGCCAAGCTTGTGCGTGACCGCCAAACTCGTGCATGTCCACAGCTCCCTTAAAGACTGGCAGCGCACTTCCAGTCACGATCTTCACCGGCACAAGGTGGGCTGTTTTGATTTCCATGGCCATTCGTTTTCTAGTACACGTGGCCAACCAGGATGGCCAGACAACAATAAATTGAAAGGTCAATGCTTGCGATCTGACGGGTGCCCATTCCCTTTCCTGTAGCTGCCCCACGACAACGTGTGTCACCACGTCGTCCAAAACCGTGTGGAGCGTTCCACCTCCATCTCTGACCATGTTCTCTCATTCCATCATGTCTTCCTTATTGAACCCAATAAGATAAAAATGGATATCTCTAAGATACATATCATCTCCCATGCCCACCCCATCGTCGTCACCATAGGTGTCGCCCGCTAGGAGCACAACGTTTTTTTTACCCCCTGCTCTCCCCACCTGTCATCACCGTCTGCCCCCAATCGCTTCCTCCCTCTTTGCCCTCCTCCAGAGCTCCTCCCATGTTCCATCTTTTCCCTAGACACTCCGCCAAGGCCCCCTTCCTCTCTTACCACACCGACGAGATTCCGAACTGCACTTGGTGTCTCTCTGACAATCGTTCCCAATGGGTTAAGCGACATGCGCTGCGACGAGTTATTGCTCCTCTCTGCTCCAGCCAAGCGACTACCGACATGTCTAGGGCTGACTGGAAATTTATCCCCATCGAGGCAACCGCTGTGTGTCTTGCGTTTTTCCTTCACCGCTATGCTGTGACGCCTGCTGAGGGCACGCCTGCTTGAGTGTGTGTTAACCATCACGAATACCGTATTTTTCCCTGGACACAACTCATCCCTATCATGAATGTAAATGACTGCAGACAACCTGTCTTTCCATCACGATACATTCATGATGAGCTGAGGGGTGTGTTACATTTACTCCTGTCGTGACTGTACATAGACAAACCCGGACTTTCCATCTTTTTTTTTTTTTTTTTTTTTAATTTTTAAACTAGGTCTTAGCTGCTAGTGATGATGGTAAGAGCATCAATCACTAACAGCCCATCCACTGGCTCCATTCTATTGGTGGGGAGCTGCACCTGCTGGAAATCGGGTCCAGCATCCCTCATTTACATTATACTGAATTATGAATCAAGGGGAGATGCGTCTCATAGTGAGCTGTCTCTTCAGCCAGAAAACTAGCCGCCTAATGAATATGTAATAACTACTGTCTTCACCCGAATATAACGCCCTGTCATTACAGCCGTATTTGGGGTCATTTTCTGTCCAGATGCAGCGATAATGACCGGGCGTTCTATTCGGGTGAAGACGGTAGGAGCTGTCTAATCACAAACACCCTAACCAAAAATTTGTTATCCAATCTGAGCCAAAAAAAAACTCTTACTATCCTCATCCCCTACTCTTCCCCCCCTCCAAACCAATCAAGATCTACCAAAGCAAGCTCAGAAGGAGGAAAGGGATCTGGAAATGCATCTGGCGACCTCAAGGTAGCACATGGCAACACATCAAACCAATCCTGGAAGATGATCTCATAATCTCTTTTGAAATTCGTCCCATTCTCTTCCCCTCCCAGCCACTCCACATTTCCCATTTTCCTTCCGGAAGAGTCACCCAGCCAATCCTTTGTGAAAGTTTGAATTCGTTTCTTAATATCCTGTTTTTGCTGCATCACATGAAGCCCAGATTTATCCTTGTCCCATTGATATCTTACTTCTGTTTCGATAAACTTTTGGACCATCTCAGACATTTCTCTGCCCTCAATCCTGACCTTTTCCATTGTGAATACACATCTTTTATACCATAATACCCATAAAATGACTTTTCTACCAATGTTGAATAAATTATGTTGAAGCGATGTTAGTGAAATGAGGAAAGGGCACCAATGTCCCAGGAGGATCACCCTCCAGTCCCAAGGCCAATCTAAGCTTGTCAATTTATTCCATACATAATCCCATCGCCTCCACAACAATTTTTCCCCCGGGCATTGTAAAAACATGTGTCCTATTGTCTCTCTAATTTTTCTACTCGGGAAGGCCTCCACACACACATCACACCACGGTACAGCTACCCCCCTCTGCTCCAGAGTGGTGTGGTCAATCAGCCAGTCATTTGTTGGCAAACATCGATGGATTATCTGCTATTGCAATGATACAAATTTAGCAGGTTTCTCTTTGAAACCTTGACACCACTTAATTGGTTTGAGCAGATCTGTATAAATATTTAAATGTCTGGCCCACCGTTCTTGAATAATGTCAAATACATCAACTCTTGGACGTAACAGACGATACGAGGTTTTCACCGATAAGGACTGCAATTTCTGAGCCTTGCATCTCCTGCTGGCACGCCAGGTCCATTCTGCAGGATCCAAAGGGAGATCTGGAATGGGGGAATTTGGTGCATACACAGTCCATCCTTTAGTTATTGAACAATACAATGCTCTCACCCTATAGAGTGTATTAAAATGGAAAAACCCTACCTTGTCCTGATTACTATGTGATAGGGAGAAGTCCTCATGGAGCATAAAGATGTTTACTAGAGCCCCTTCCGTATGGATATCCAATATCTGACCCACCACCCTGTCACCCGTCGTAAGATGAGCACACACCCAGTCCGCAACCAAAAAAATGGGACCCGTTTTAAGAGCAGCCACCCAGGCCAATGGAATGGATGAAATTACTAAATCTAGGTTTTCAGCTAGATTATGTGCATACTTAACATCCTTTCTCCATTGATTAACTGATTTCCAACTCTTACTTTCTTGGTGCCATATATCTTTAATCCTTACAATACCATGTTTGACCTAAGTGGACCACGGGGGTGTGGAACTTATGAACATTCTTCCTTGTGTGTCTGTGATCCATCTATTGCCAAAGATTGTTTGACGTAGGACTTCCTCATATCTAGAAGGAGGAGATATGTTCGGCAACGATAAAAAACGCCACGTATTCAATAAGGTTTCCCAAAAACTGTCCAAAATCAGATCCCGTCTTACTAGCCCCCCATCCCCCTCCTTCTGAGAATGTGATTGTGGGCGAGGAATGGATCAATATCTGTCTTCTACCCAAATCAGTGGATTAACATCTTTTGTAGTTTGTGGAGCCAATCTACGTATTTGTTTTAGTGCCAATGCTTGCCATGGAAGATCCGTGGACAATATTAATCGTTTTAACCATTGAAGGGCTAGTGCTTGACACTGGATAGAAGGATCCAAAATCCCTAATCCTCCCTTAGCCTTTGGCTGGATAAGAACCTGCCACGCCACTCTAGGTATAACACGTGCTATCTCGTGATCTCCACGCCAAAGAAAGGTCGTGAGCTGACTCTTAAGTTCTTTAGTTGCTCCTTTACTTAAAGACCACAGAGCAGACTTATACGAAATTGAGGCCAATACTACATTATTGATGACCAGAGCCCTACCAAACAGCGAAGTATGCTGATTTTTTCATTGTTTTATTTTTTGTATGGCTGGGGAAGTGATCCATACATCATTAGAATTAAGTTTTCCCCTAAAACACCCAAAACTCTGATTGGAGTTTCTAATGGTAACCATTTTACCTTTGGGTCCTTAGGAGGCCTCGTCCCTTGAGAGTGAATCCACCATCCTTGTGTCTTACTTCCCCAATTGATCACTATGTCTGACAGGAGGGAAAACTTATCCATTAGAGCTTTTAATTTTTCCATATTTTCTTTGGATGCCTCTATCATTATGGTATTATCATCAACAAACATAGAGCAAATTGGTATAGCCTCTTCTGGGATACCCGTAATCTGAAGTCTTTTCATACTCTGATTAGTCCATAGATTAGCTCATAATGCTTCCATTATAATAAAAAAAAGAAATGGAGCTAATGGATCACCCTGTCTGACCGATCTTTGTAGACGATTTTCGGAGAAAGAAGACCATTGATCTGAACCCTTGTAGTGACATTAGAAAAGGATGGTGACCCACCTACGAATGGATGGGCCGATATTCAACTTATTTAAGCACGCGTCCAAAAAAATTCAATCCACATTATCATAAGCTTTCTCAAAATTTATAAAAACGAAAGCAGTTTTTTGGTGATTCTGACGAGACAACTTAATCATCTCATTTATGAGCAATATGTTATCCTGAATGTTTCTCCCATTAATGAATCCCGTTTGAGAAGGATGACTGATGTCGGGCATTATTGGGATGAAACGATTTGCAATGGTCTTGCCCAACATTTTGTATACTACTGTAAGCAGGGTGATAGATCTATAATTCCTTATATTCGTTTTATCCCCCTTTTTGTATAAAAATGTTAAGACCCCTTGCCCAACTATTTTCCCCGTACTCCCCATTTTCTGAACTTGTTGGTAAAATTTCATTAAATCATCAGCGAAAAATGGTCACATTGTTTTCCAAAACTCCTTAGGAAGACCATCGAAACCCGGAGTTTTATCCTCATCCATTTGCAACAACGCAGTCCAGATTTCTTCCTTAGTAATAGGTTCTTCCAGTTTCTCTTTCTGTCTTTGCGACAACTCTTGAGTCATAGGGGCCAAAAAATCCTGTTGGATCGGATCTACAATCGACACATCGACCCTATATTTAAAAATATTTTTGAAGAAGTTATATGCTACCTTCAGACTACTGGCCAAAGTGGCAGTCTCTTGTTGAGGCAACTGTTGTGGATCCATCAAGGCATCAATAGTCGTTCTTCTAGCTCTTGTGCGAGTCAGAGAAAAAAATGTTGTATCCATTTGTCCTTCCTTCGAATGTTTGAAGAGCTTTCGTTTAATCAAATGCCATTGCCAACGATTTTGCGCAAAGGTTAGTAGTGGATCCCTAAGGGCTATAATATCATCATGTTGAGATACTTGTTGTGGATTATCTTGTAATTCATATTTGAGAATTTGTTCTTGAATATTCATTTCTTGCTGATATTTTTCCTTGGTTATAAGTTTAGAGTATTTATTACAGTTTTTACCTAAATATATTAGCCCATTATTGAACCATGCAATA